AGCCCGATGCGGGGCTCGATCCCAGGACCCTGGGATCATAACCTGAGCCGAAGGCAGACACTTAATGACTTAGCCACCCAGGCGCCCCGAAACTGTCTATATATTTAAAGCTCTTTTCAAATTCCACCTTATTCTTGGAATCCCCAAATTAATATAAGCTATCTGTTCCCATTACACTTAATATTTTCTTTTAATCATTTACTACATTCTGACTTGTATTATAATTATTTGTATTCATAACTGCCCCCACCCCACCATAAAATGAAGGGTCCTGAAGATAGAGGCAATAAATAGTATTTCATCTTTGTGTCCTCCACAGTACCCATTTGCCTAATCTCATTGTGTATCATGTAAGCATTCAGAAAGTGGTTGTTAAATTGCATGTTGTTCTGGACACTGATTTATTTGATATAAAAGCAGTCAAACAATATAATCAAACAAAAATCTATTTTTTTTAAATCTACTTTTGTGCACAGAATATTTAAATTTTATTCATTAATTTCATAGAAAAAGATGAAAAGATAGGTAGATACAATTCAAAAAACATGAGAAACTATAAGAATATCTAAGCTAGTATCCGCAGATTTAAGATAATTCTTACCACTTAAATGTTATAATGATGCTAAATAAGAAATTAGTAAAAAATAGCCTAGAAACTGATATGGCACTAAACAATTGAAGTTAAGGAAGTTTCTTCAGAAAAACCAATAGAAGTTTCTTTAGAAAAACCAATACTGTAGACAGCTAAAGTAAACTTTGGTGAGTTTGGGGAACTAAAACACTTTTTAAAAAAATCTGTGTCTGGGATTCTTTGAGAATTTATCAGTAAGTATGTGCCATCTAGTGGTGATACAATTAAACATCTTCAAAGAAAAAAATTAAGACTTTATAAAGAATTTTGAATTCTGGAATTAGGCTCAGCTATGCATTGTATTTTTCAACTAAAGAAATGATAGGTGCATATCCTAAAGTGTAGACTGTGCCTCCCTACCCATCTCTGGTATTGTTTCTCCCACAGGTACCCATTATTACCAGTTTCTTTTATAGTCTTTCAGAGATGGTTATGCATCTACAAACATTTATATCATTTATATAAATATAGCACATTTTACAGAGTGTTGTGAATAGTTATATATACTTCTGGGTTTTTCAATTTGTCTTGCAGATTGCTTCATTTATTGATTGATTCAACATATTCTAAACCCTTGGGATCTATCATTGAAGAAAAAAAGCTTACATTGATTCTAGGCAGTGTAACAGACAATCGATAATAAGCATAACAAATCAATAAAGCCTATAATATGTTATAAGAGGTTATAAGTTCTTGTAATAAAGAAAAGTTAAGGCTATAAAGTAGTCAGGGTAACTCTCATGAAAAGGTGACATTTGAGCAAAAACCTGAAAGAGGCCAGGGAGTTAGCCACATAGCTATCCCAAGAAAGAGTACTCCAAGCAGAGAAGAAAATACTCTAAGATGGGAGAATACAAGTGTATTTAAGATGTTTGAAGAAGTCAAGCTGGCTGAGGCTGAATGAAGAAGGCAAGTGATAGGGAATGAGGTCACAAAATTAACAGGGGCCAGATCATGGAGGTCCTTTCAGGCCATTGTAGGGAATTTGTCTTTTATTCTGAGTAAAATGGGAGCCATTCCACAGGTCTGAGCAAGAATAACATTTGATTTGATTCAATGTTTTAAAACAATCATTGATTGTTTTGACCAGAATAGACTATACAGGGGCATACAGATATAAAACGACTAGCTACTGCAATAATCTAGGCAAGAAATTATGGTGGTGTCGACCAGGATAGCAGCAGCCACTGTGGTAAAAAGTGGTAGGATTCTGTACATAATATGAAGGTAGAGCAAAAGGAATTTTTGCGCAACTGAAAACTGGTTGTGAGAGAAAGAGAGGATGACTCTTAAGGCTTTTGGACTGAGCTAGTAGAAGGATAAAATTTGCTGTCTATAGAGAAGAAGGCTGTCAAGGAAGTGAGACTTGTGGGGGAAGATCAAGAGTTTAGATATGTTGAGTATGAGATGTCTATTGTGACATCCAAGTGGGGATACCGAGGAGGACTGTGGTAAGGGAATTCAGAAGAGAGAATGGAACTGCAGATAAAATTTAGGAATCATCCACACACATAGTATTTAAAGCCAAAAAATTGGATGAGATAACTAAAGGAATGAGGAAATAGATGTACATATATCCACACATGTGCTATATATGTACCATTATTTATTTGACAAATGCTCTAATAATGAACATTTAGGTTATTTTTAATACTATGCAATTTGAAACAATGTTGTAATAAAAAAATTTGTCCATATGTCACTTTGCCCATGTGAAAGTGTACTGAGGAATAAATTCCTAGATGTTGAATTTCAAGGTTTGAAGTATGTATATTTTAAATTTTGGAAGTTATTGTGAATTCACTCTTGAATGAGGTGGTCACAATTTACAATGCCATAAACAGTATGTTTCCTCACATCCTGGAAAACACTTCTGTTACCAAACTTTTAGATCTTTGTCAATATTTTAAGGGAAATATGGTATTTCTTTTTTATTATCATTTTCATTTCTTAAATTTAGTAATTATGAGAAATTTTTAATATTTTTCCAGCTTTGAGATATAATTGACATATAACTATGTAAATTTAAGAGCACAACATAATAATTGGATACATGTCATTACCAAAATAGGGTTAGTTACTACCGCCATAAACTCATATAACTTTTGTGTGCGTGTATGTAGTGGGAACATTTAAGATCTACTTTTTTTGCAAGTCTATAATACAGTAATATTAACTTTAGTCTCCATGCTGTACATTAGATCCCGCAACTCATTCATCAATTTTTCACATTTTTAAAAAGCATTTTTTTCTATGGAATGATTGTTCAAGTCTTGTGTTCATATTATATTGGTCATTTTCTTAATGGTTTATAAGAGAATTTTATAAATTAAAAAAGTAATACTTTGCTACATTTATTGCAAATATCTTCTCCTGTTGACAGTTTATCTTTTAGATATTTGTATTGTCATTTTTGTTTATTTAAATCTTTCATCCTTCTAGCACTAATTTGGATGCGAGGTATGACATATAGCTTCTACTTTATTTTTTTTCCCAAGTAGCTAGCTATTTGTGCCCATAGAATTTATTAAATAATACAACTTTAATTATTTGAATATAACCTTCACCACTAACTATATTTCCAAGTACTCTGGAGTCTGTTTTTGGAGTTTATATTGTTATCTTTATCTGTTGAATCACTATTAGTACCGAACTGCTTTTTTTTTTAAAGATTTTTTATTTATTTATTTGAGAGAGAGAGACACAGCGAGAGAGGGAACACAAGTAGGGGGAGTGGGAGAGGGAGAAGCAGGCTTCCCTCGGAGCAGGGAGCCCGATGCGGGGCTTGATCCCAGGACCCTGGGATCATGACCTGAGCCGAAGGCAGACGCTTAACAACTGAGCCACCCAGGCGCCCCCCCCCCGCTTTTTTTTTTTTAACCTAACTGCTTTAACTACTGGAACTTTATTGTAATTTTATATTTTATAGGTCTAACTCCCTCTTCTATATTTAATTTTCCTGTGCATTTTAGCACTCAT